GGGGGAGAGCTGTGAGACAGTTAATTTAAAAGCATATGCTTGCTATTTGCTAGGAGTGCTGAGTTCTTCCATACTTCCTGGAAGCTTTCTGTGGAATTGGATTATTTAGTACTGTGCATAGACCAAAACATGGAGCTACTTCACAGTTGCAAAGATTTGGTGGAAGGCTGAGTAAATGATACATGAATTCATGGGAAAGCTGTGAAGAAACACTTGTCAAATAAAATTGTGGAGTATAGGAATAAAGATGACAACTAGATTTCTTTGTGTAATGAAACATCTAGATTGTCTTCCATTAATAAGAGGCTGGAAGAATCCTTAACAATAGTTATAATTCCAAGAAGTCTCCATGGTTCTAATGTGTATGTAGTGATGATCGAGTGAAATGAAGTGCCAAGGCTTCCATCTGAAAGCTCTGTCCAGGAACCTGCTATAGATTAGTCTTCCTCAATGTATTGAAAACTTCCTCTTTCCTGTCTGCAGCCTTGAATCAAATAGACTTGTGAACAAATTTAGATTTGTATATTATCGTAGAATCATGTTTGTTTTATTTATTTTTTGTTTTGTACTTGCCCTTACTTGATTCTAGCACCTACTTCTGAAATAAAAAAGTACAATACATTTCATTCTTAATTAGGTATATGTTACTAAATGCATCAAATCAGGTCACAGGCAACACTAACTCCTTTCTCTGGGTATTAGTTATGCTCACTTTCTAAACAGAGCTGCAGGTTTCAGTGTAGGCACGTGCACAGTTATGTCATACAGTAAAATTAAGATGCAGATGTAGCACTTTGCAGGTACCAAGGGAGAAATGATGAATTTAGCACGTAGCAACAATCAGAAAGAAACTTGTGCTGTTAGCATGAGTTTAGGTATAGAGGGACTTTGCCAAACAACCTATTTTACAGTGGTTCTGGCTACAGAGAGAGAAGACTTAAGGAAATAACACTCTTTTTTTACCTTGTTTTCAGGAGCGTTTCATTGTAGTTAGAGAACCAAATGGCGTATTACGCAAAGCAACCTGGGAAGAACGAGACAGAATGATACAGATATTCTTCCCAAAAGAAGGGCGCAGAGTTATTCCCCCAGTGATATTCAAGGATGAACACCTTGTGGTACGAGCTTCCTGGTCTTGAAAACTGATAATTTCTACTTGTTTGTGCTCTGATAGCAAAACTGTGCTACCTAGACAGAGTAGCTCTGAATAAGCTTTTATGTTGTAAGCAGCTGTTCAAAACAGAATTTGAGCAGCTTATAATTGTAGCTTAATTAAAATACTTTCTATGAAGTCCCAGGTTGGGACTAGGTAAATCCTGGGTAGGTGTAAATATTCTGTCATACTATAAATCCAGATTTGTGAGGTATTGATGAAATGGTATGCTTAATCTGAAAATGTGCACAGGTGTTTCAAAAACCAAAACTCAAGAAACATTTAATGTTATCAAGACAGTTTCTGCACTTTTATCCATTTCATCTTGTGATTAAGGGGATACTCACTGAAGTGTTGCCCAGAACAGAAATACTGTGACTGCTGTTTTGAATTTGGATAGTTGGAATGGTGCAATACAGAATCTGTTCCTGAATTTGAACTGTTGTTTTAGACTGTGTTCAAGCAAGACCGTCACGAGGATATCCTTAACATGTGCATTGCTCAGTTTGAGCCAGATTCAGCTGACTATATCAGAGTGAGTTCACTTTTCATTTTTCTATTAAAAACATTAATATTAGTGAGGAACTTTAGGGTTGTTTGTAGATATAAGTATTACCTGATGCTCCAAGTTGTTCATATGTGTTCTTCCCCCGCCCCGCCCCCCATGTAGATTACTTACTGGTGCAATGAGCTTTTTTTTTTTTGAATCACTGAGAACATAACTTGTTGGACAATTTTTCAAGTACGTTTTCTTCCAAGTAAAATTTCACCTCTTTGCTCTAGCATTTTTCTCTTTAAAGAATAGATTACAACTTGACAGCAGTGAAAGGAAGGTTCAGAGGTTACGTCCCTCCCTCCCCAAATTTTCAATATGTAGTTAGTATTTAGCTTTCTCTCAACATAAATATGTTTATGCTAAAGTAATAAAAACTGGGTTATCCCAGTTTTACCTTGAATTATAACACATAGAAAGCTTTAACGTAGCATGGTTCAGCCTGTGGCTTAGTCTAGCACTTTAGGGAGGTCTGAAAATAGATTAAAAACTTGAAGTGAGAGGTAGAGGGGAGAAGCTGTCATCAAGCTCGTTATGCTGATGAAAACAAAACCCTCTCGTCTACAGGTTCATCATCGGACATACGATGACATTGAGAAACATGCCAAATATGATCTGCTCCGTTCAACAAGACACTTCGGAGGAATGGTGTGGTACCTAGTGAACAGAAAGAAAACGGATGGCTTACTAATAGATATGATCCACAGAGATTTGTAAGTGGTGTTTGTCACTTATTAATTCTGCTTAGCTAAACAAACAGAAAACAAGGGCCATTGTTTGAAAATAAAACCAGTATTTCTTTAAGACATGTAAAAGTTTTCATTTGCATGAAATTTTAGGCTAGCTGTAACTTTCAGCTATATAGATGCTCAATGGAAGCACCAACTACAGTCCATGGAGTTACAGGTTATTAAACTAGCTTGCTGCAAAAATTAGCCTTTTGTAGTTTTTGGGTTTTTATTTTTGTTTCCCATGTAATTGTCAGCACACTACCAGCTCTGGGCAGTGCTGATCTTAAACCCTAACAATTTTATACTACTGAGCTCAATTGGAACTTTTACAATTGACACACTCTGGGTTTTACAGCAATCCCTAGGTAGCTTAGGAACAGATAGATACACTTTCTGTTTAAACTTATGGATTTCTGTAAAATATGCAGCTAAACTTATTCAGAATTCCCTGAAGCAAACCCTATTTAATTATTCAAATTAGAACTCCAAGTTGCAGGGATGGTGGCATTCATTTCCTACTGTTGAAGTTAAGAACTTTCAACGGGTGATCACATCTTACTTTTAAACCTGAGGATGTGAAGAAATACGGGGTAGCTCCAGTTTTGGAATCAAATTGGTAAAGGGAAAAATACAAATATGGATGATTTAAACTATAAGAGTTTGGAGCATCTTTACCTGGCATCATAAAGATGCTTTACTTAGCATCTTTACACCCACTTTTAGCTTATGTTTACATTTATGTAAAACACTTGTTCCAGTTTTAAATTCAGCTGAGGGCTAGGCATCACAAGATTTTTAACACTACTTCTGTAAAAGATGCTAATTACTGCAGTTGGTGTTAGAAAGTTGCCCTTTGTAACAGTTGTTCCATTAAATACTTGTTACTGGGTAATTAATTGTATTTTACAGAGAGATTTCAGCTTTATTACTGCTGAGCAGGACATCAGGCTTAAACTGCAATATTGATAAACTTACGTACCTTACCTGGTGCACCTTGGTGTTCATGTGCTTCTGGTCTTCCTTCTCACTGCCACAGATGATGGGATGCTTGTTCAGCTGTATATTCTAATGACTGTATACTCAGTGAAAGCAGAAGTTTATGAAAGCCTGTGGTGTGCAAAGTACACCACCAAGTACTCTTTCTCTGAATAGTAAGAGAAAGTAATTGCTACAAATGGTCTTTTATTTGTTTAGGCTGGATGATGCTACAAGTTTAATTACATTGTATCATATGCTTCATCCGGAATGTCCATCAGCAAAAGAAGCTAAAGAAGGGAAACTTCAAGGAGTTGATCTGATCAAGGTATGCTTTTCTGCTTTAAGGCTACTTAACTACAGGAGAGAAAGCTTTTGAACAGCAGCAGCCTATTTAGTAGTCTTTCTCCTTAAGAAGCAGATACTTAACTACAACTGTTGTGCATGCCAAGTTGGTGTTTGTTTTGTTTTGTTTTTTTTTTTAAACTATATATAGCTGCACCAGCATTTCAGTTGTAGCTGGCTGATGTACCACTAGAATGATGAAATCTCATTATGCAACTATGCTCTTAACTTTAACTTAATCTCTCTCCTGCCATGTTTGCAGGTATTTGTGAAAACTGAGTCACAGAAAGAAGGCTACATACAACTGGCCCTCCAGGCTTATGAAGAAGCAATGGCTACTTCTACTGCCTCATGAAATAAACCTTAGTTCATCTTAAGTTTTAAGTCTGTTTATAAAATGTTCTCTGTACAGGATTCTACAATAAATACTATAAACAACTGACCGTTCTAGAAATTTTTTTACTAAAATGTGTAATAAACACTATAGCAGTTTTTTATTTTCAAAAATTCTGAAAGTCATCATGACTTTTATTTTGATGTGACAATATACTCTGAATTGAATTCCTTGACTGTTGCATCTAGAATCTAAAGAATTGCCCACAATTCATTTTACTTACTGAAGTATGTGCTTCATTTAGGAAAGTGTGTATCACCACCTGTCCCTTAAGACATATTACTGTTCTGTTAGATCTTTTCGCTGTAAGTGTTGTCTGGAAGAGTAACTGAGCTACTGATTATTAACAGGTACAAGCTGAATAGCACAGTGAAAAAGTAACCATATACTTAAGTGTACATGCTAAGAAGAGCCAGGTTAAAATGTGAATACTTGGCTACTCTGCTCCTGTGTCAAATACCTGCAAAACACACTATCGCCACTGAGTTAAGAATAGCAGAATTACTTATAAATGGAGAAATGAGGAATAGAATGTTTAAAAGGGTTTATTGAATTGCTTGATAAATGAAAACATTTTTTAGTATGCAGTGGATCAGTCCTACATACTGAATTTCAACATACTGGAAGCTTATTTTATACAGTTCCTGGGTCTACCCTTCTTTCTACATGTACATGGTCCACTTGCAGTATAAAAATCAAGTTAACTTGGAGCACATAGTCCACAGAAATTCATTCCTTTGTTTGGAGTAATTGATTTGGTCATCTAAAAAGTATGTTCACTCATCTAAGATCTCCTCATCTAGATTGATATCCGTGGTATCAATATCCTCCAGATCCAAGTTATCCAAGTCATCTTCCAAGTCCAGCAGTGTCTAGGAAAAGAAAAGACAAGATTAAGGAGATACTAACCTGGCTGTGTGCTAGCCATCTTACATCATGTTTGATTCTGGATGATGTATTTGCGCATTCCACAGTCAGGTGGAACATAAAAGTTAAAATGCTGCATCTCTGAGTTGCAACTTTTTACCATGTTGTGACCAACTGTGTTTGGACTTCACCCTTCGTTCCTTGTAAATCTACAAGGCTGTTGGAACTGGTCTATACCACTGTGTACAGTTTCTGCATATAACAGGAAGGGATCCATACACTGTACTGGTCCTAATAGGTCTATTAATATAGAAAGTGATATTTTCCAGAAGCTTGGTTTCATCATGTTATTAACTGAAGTCTTTAACGTAAATTAATTTAAAACTTGTACTTCTCTTCATAAAAACTATTTCAGTACCTTTTGATCTCTCGTTGGAAGAAGATCAGAATTCTGCAAAACTGTCTTCATTACTTCTGGTTTAGGAGATGGAACTGGTTCTTCAACCTTCTGCTAATGAAAAAGAGATTCCTTAAGTTCTTTCGATTTTAAATTCTTTCAACAAAAGCAAGTAAAATAGCAGCAGACCTATAATCCCCCTCTCCCAGTGGTTCTCTTTCAAAGTTTCCCCTCAATAACTCTTAAACCAAATCTTCACAGCCAGTTAGTGTTCTGGTCTTCACTCCACTGGAGACTACTGTTTAGCTGCCCAGTTTATTTAAAGCGGTTGATGATGGAACAGTTACAATGAAAACAGTGTTCAGAAAGTATCAGTTCATTTCAAATACTGAAGTG